GTAGGTACATTAAGAACCTTTCAAGTGGGGCTGTGGAAGTAGCTCTGTGGGTAGTACACTTCCCTAATATGCCCAGGACCCTGAGTTTGATCCTTGGACACCGGGGTGAAAAAGCTTTTGGGGGGTGGTGGTTTCATAGGATTGAAAAAATCGTCAAGATATGCTATATACATGTACCAACTCCTGAAAACGAATGAAACTATTGCAAGTTGTTTTTTTTTTGGTACTGGAGATCAAACTCGGGTTCTTGTGCTTGCGAGGCAGGTGGTGGAGCCACTGAGGTAAATCCCTGGCCCAACTATTGCAAACATACACTAATAAAAATAACTTCTCAGTGACTCGTATTCTTCTACTCCAATATATAAAATTGCAGTGTGTTAGTCTTAGAAAAGACTTAGAGGACTTCTGATCCTGAAGTTTCTGATTTTTTTTGGAAAGTGGCTAAATCTTTTTTAATTGAACAAATCTTTTTTTTTTTTTGGTACTGGGGATTGAACTCCGGTCCTTGGGTTTGTGAGGCAGGCGGCAGAACCACTGAGCTAAATCCCCAGCCCTGAACAAATCTTATGTAAACTCCTAAACTAAAAAAGTTTTTATTAGGTCATTTGACTGAGATGGCTCCATTGCCTTGTGTTCCTGCATAAGCAAACTAAAACCCAATTTGACAAAAACAGAAAAATGAAACTTCAGCTCTCCTGATCAAAAACCAGCAATCATCCGGGTTTGGTGGTACATGTAATTCTGGCACTCTGGGAGGCTGAGTTAAGAGGATCACAAATTCTAGCCCAGCCCGGGCAACTTGGTGAGACTCTGGCTCAGAAAGATAAAAAGAAGGGCTGGGGATATACCTCACTGTGAAAGCTCTAGGTTCAATCCCCATGCTGGGGGCAGGGTGGGACAAAAAACACAAAACCAGTCAGAAACTGCCATCAGACCACTAATTTGGGACTTTCCACCAGATTATACCTAAATAATGCCAACCAAGTAATTAATTTTACGAAGCCCTTAGCTCATTCAGTAAAGTAGAGCTCTCTGAACCTCTGTGTTTGGGTGCACTATACCGTTCCAATTCATGAATTATTCTTTGTTTAAATAAAGTGCTAAATTTAATTTGTTTAAACCTTTTTTTAATACCTAGTGTCCAAAAGCAGATAAATAGCAGCTTACTTTAAGAATAGAATGAATGAGTGAGTCTTAAAACTTTTACTGTTTTACCTGCTACTGGTCTTCGAGGCATCTCAGAAGTACTCTGTACTTCACTTACTGGTCAGCTGAACCAGTAGTTAACTGACTTGTGTGTAGCCTGAATAGGACAGTGGTAGACTTTGAATTCAGTAGTCTCTCAATCAAGAGACTATACCAAACTTCATTAAGGGAATTACACATTTTAAAAATTACAATTACCTGTGTATGCATTTTTAAATAAGTACTACTTTTCTAGGTGGAGATAGCAAAGGAAAGATTCCAGAATTTTAAAGTCAAAATTTCTATATTGAAACATTGGTAGTGTCTGTATATTTATAAAATATATATATATTTTAAAAATATATTTATTTATGTGAGCCCATTTAAAAATTTTACATAAACTGAGTGCTTTGGCATGTGTGAGCAGTTCCAGCTGCTTTGGTGTCTGAGGCAAAAGGATTGCTTGAGCCTTGTTTCTGGATTTTTTTGGGGGGTGATGGTTTGAGATGGTCTCGCTATGTAGTTCAGGCTAGCCTTGAACTTACTAGGTAGCCCAGACTGGCCTTGAGCTTGTGGCAATCCTGCTGCCTCAGCCTTCCAAGTGCTGGGATTATAGGCACGTACCACCATACCTGGCAGAGAACCTGTTTCTTAAAAAAAAAAGTTCCACAGTTTTAAAGTTTTAAAATTGTAATTGCTGTCTCTAGGCCTGTTGATAGTAGTGTTTTTCTTGATAGGGCTGACATTTGTCACACTAACAAGGTGTTCGTCCTATTCAGTCTGTGGAAATTAAGTTATAATAATATAATATGGAAATTATTATAATAATAATATGGAAATTAAGTTCCATATTATAACGTTTGTTTGACAATAAAGTTGGAGTTTGCTTAGGTAACTTTTTTTACTTTTATGTGGGGGAAAAAACTCTAGAATTATTCTGAGGATATGTTTAAAGACATCCTTTTAAAAAAATCAAATACCTTTTACTGAAAAGTAAAAAAACCTCATAGGTGGAGAAAGAGTTGTAGTATAGATTAGTTCTTGAGGGCTAAATACTTTTTAATATACATACACAGTGCTACTTTGGCACTCTAGTAAAGTGTAATATGAAAGGAAAAAATCAGTGGTCATTTTTTTGTGTTTAAAATGCTGATGTCTGTATTTAAAATATTGATGTTTGGTTCATCATAGATTTTTTTTGTAGGTATTGGGTTTCATTTTTAAAACATATTCCACTATTTTTTTTTTTTTTGTCTTGCTTGCTTGTTTTTTGACGTCTTAAACTTTGTACTCACCTCACCCTAACTTGGTGCTGGATCTAAGTACATTGTTCAGAGCTTTACGTCGTATTTCAGGCTTTCAATACATGTTTTGTTGGATACGTTATTCCATTCTGCTTCAAAGCCATGACCGGATTTTTATTATATTTACAAGGTCTTATAGTCATATAGAAGGCAGAAGTTTAAAAAAAAAATTTTTCTTCAAAACAAAACAAAAACCAAGCTGGACATTGTGGCATATACCTGTAATGTCAGCATTTGGGAGGCCAGGCAGGAGGATTGTGTAAATTCACGGTCTGCCTGGGCCAGTTCAAGACCAGCATAAACTATAGAGTGATAAGACCCTGTCTCAAAAAACAAAAAACAATGAAATCTTTTTTTCTTTGGTAGAGAGAAAAAAGAATTTAGAAACAAGGAAATGTTACTAGATGGAGAAGTGTCTGTCTTCAACAGAAGTTGAAAAGTTGAATTCAGTGGAGAGTGTAAATACAAAAGTTTTAAAAACATTAAATGTGTTGACTTTTTTTCAGAATGTTGTGATATTTTAATACTGGCTATAGCATTTCCGTAAGGAATTAAGCACTTAGTACTTGGAAGATTATATAGTAAGTATAACTGGGTTTTGTAAAACTTAAAAATTTTTTGTTGAAAATATTTAT